TTTTTTTCCAGGTTGTCCCGGTGCCAAAAAACACGAGTTCCTCACAAGCGTCCTGGACGCGCTGTCCACAGACATGGTCCATGCTGTCTCTGACCCTTCCTCCTCCTCTGGCAGGTGAGCTGTGTTTCACAGTGGAGCAGTGAGTTGGCAGAAGGTCCCAGGAATTCGAGGAGATCTGGAGAGCTCAAAGTCAGTGTAATCATTAGATATTTGAGAACTGATTCGCTAGTGTGGACACAGTAGGGCCCCAAAGAAAGGAGCCCTCTCCAAAACATGCAGGTGCTTAGCAGGCTCTTCTCATAACAGGACCAACCCACTCAAGATGTTGTCACAGGTGGTCCAACGGTGGTGGCCCTTGTGCCGGCCCTCGTGGTGGGGGGATGGATGGGACGGGGAGGGCAGAGGAGCGGAAAGGAACAGGGTGCACCTGCTTCGGAAGCTTTGTGCTTTGGAGCTGCATTTTAGAGTCACGGATTGGATTTTAAATACTCTGAATGGAAACGTTGCATGTAAAGTTCTCAGCAGGTGATGCATTTGCTGTGGTAAAGTGGGAAGTACGAGAACTTCGCCATCGTAACTGATTCCATGTGTACAGTTAGGTGGCACCTACGGCATTCGCACTGTTCCAAGTGTGACTTCTCAAACCCTAGAAATGCTCTCTGTGGGTCCGTGGGGGACATCCCTGCACTCCTGAGCTCCATGTCCACAGCAGACTCTCGCAAATTCCCAGAGCCTCGCTCCTCCCTCACGTGCCTCAGGGTGGTGGGAGCTCCCCGGGTTTTGCTGCTGTGGCGTTTCAGGAGCCGGATAGTCCTCCTGAAAACTAGCAACGGTTTATGTTCACTTTAAAGGCATTTTTCCGATGGAGACTTTGATCTTTTTATTTNGCTTCTGCGCTGCACCAGTCGGCCTGCAGTGCCGCAGTTCTGATGGCTGCCGGGCCCCGCGGTGTGGCCCAAACGCGGAAACAAGGAACCAGGTGCTGGCCACAGCTCATGTGTTTCCTCCTCAGTGGGCAGTTCCCGAGAGTGAGGCACACACTGCAAAAAACCCAGGGCAAATGACAGTTTGGTGTCCACGACATCAGTCGGAGGAATTACCGTGAGGTCTGCAGGCACAGGAGCCGACACCCCTCAGAGGACAAAGCTCTCTCTGCCACGGTCACTGTGCCTAACAGAGCTGCTGGGCAGAAGCGAGTGTTTCCCTGTTCTTAGTGACAGGGAAGGAGCTGGCTGTTTGGGGTGGTCTCCCTTTTAGCTCAAGTCGTGTTATTTCTTCTGTACATTTGCAAGAACTGGCGTGTTTCATTGCGATACGTTTTCATTTCGTGATATTTCTGTTGTTTCTCATAGAGTAAAAATTCCCTTAAAATCATAAATTCTTTCAGGTTTTTTTCTGGTTTCTTCTAATTTATTGCCTTTTATTCCTCAGAAATAGCTTTAAACTGCAGTCACCATAGTTGACAGTCACAAGCATCATAGCAGATTCTGGGCTGAGTGACAAGATTCCACACATTCCCATCAGGAAGAAAGTCCTCGCAAAAGAACTCACTGAATAATGTGATGTGAACTAGGGTGGGGACGTAAGCAGAGCTCCAGTCCCCTCTCTGAGTCCCTGCTCAACGCTTCCACTCTCAGGTCCAGCTGACATGCAGAACAGAGCCTTCTGTTCCCGCTCTTGACTTGAGGGACACGGTGGCCACCCCATCCCAGTCGTGCCCCCCTCCCCACTCACTCTCAGTGATTTGGGGATGACCGTTCCGTTTTATTAGCATTTATCCATGGGACTGTAACAGCCAAGCTTCTCAGAGTCTAAGGTAGGTCACTGTCTCTGCCACGCTGTCACACATCCCAGGACGTCAAGGCATGTAGACTTTGACCCCGTGAACACGGCCTTTCTCTGGCTCACCTCTGGGTCCAGCACCTTCCCCAGGTCCTCAGGAGTAGTTTTGAGCAAATGGGCCAGAATTTCTCAGTGGCAAGTGGACTTCATGTGTGAGATTTCTGATTATGCAAACCAAAATTGACGTATCTACAAAGTGTGAGACAGAGTCACCGAGCAAGTTAGTCGTGGAAATGTGGCAGCTTTGTCTTCGGGGTCTGGATCATTTTTTCTTTTTCTGTACGCAAAAGGAAGTTCCGTGTCTTTGTAAACGAAAATAAAAAGTCCTCTCTTTTTGGACTGAAGTACCTCATAACTGTGAAATACAATCCTTAACAGGATCTGTGCACTTCACGGCATGCGATTTATACCACAATAAAGAAAAAAAATACATGAGGAGGATTTATCTAGTAGTTCTTGTTTTAGAGGTAGATCACATTTTGACATTAAATTTTCCTCTTTGCATTAGAGTCCTAAAGCTTTTATATACCATTAGTCTTGTATCTCATAGTGAATATATGTCATTTTCTAATTAAAAATATTTTGTTGCTTTATCTCATTTGGGGGATATGGTTAATCTAACAGCTCCCAAAACACAAAAATCCTAGGTATATCCCCATTAAAGTTATAACCACCACACACAACGTAAGCATAATTCCTTCTCAACGCTGTTTGATACTAAGGATCATCTAATATGCTAAGGCTTTTCGCAGATAATTGTGATTTTCCTCATTGACACCATATTCCTCTCCGAGTCTCTTGAGGCTAATGGTGGGTTTGGGGACCCACGCGGCGCAGCCTCCACAGGCCACCCCCCGAGGTGGTGCCCATCCCCCGGCTGTGCCTGCCGCGTGGCACCTGCCTATCTTCCTCCGGGTCAGACCCGCTTGTCATACTTTCCTATTTCTCTTAGCGGTTAGTCCTACTGCATGGAAGGTTGGCCCTATCCTGACCAAGGGGATGTCACCTCCCAAAGTCGAGAGCAGAGAGGACCAGGTAGCTCCACGGCGGCCTGAGCACCGTGGTGTCATAGCCTCACACCTTCTGTTTCTTTCCATGGGAAAAGCTGATGAGATAAATTGCTTTTTTCTTGGAAAAACAACATTCTCCCCATGATTGCGGGTTTTTTTTTTTTTTATAGATTATAACCTGCTTTCTCAGCTGTGTGCAGGGGTCACATCCCTGTTTTCACTCTCAGACTGCACATCTGTCATCTGCTGTGTGTGTTTAATGAAGTGGCAAGAGGCATGAACGGATCCCTGCTAGAGACAGCTCACATGTGTCACTTGAGGAATAATAATAAAAACCTCAAGTGTCAAAAGGAAATTGATGAAAACCAGAGTGTCTTTAGCCATATAAGCATGTCGCTCTACGAATGACTTAGCTGTCATGACGCATGACCACCGTGGGATCCACGCCAAGCATCCCTGTACCCCAGAGTACAGAAAGGACACGTCTAATGCTGCTTTTCTTCACCTCAACGCGGAGGAGGCATCTACTGATAATTTCCCGAGAGAGTGCTTTCTAGTTTTCGACAAACCTTCCTTGTGGGGGGCTGTTGCAGAGGGTCATGAAATGGCCCTTCCTATCCGGTTGACACGTCTTCTGCCGTGGGCTTTGAGACTTTCGTGTCTTCAGCTCGCTGAGTAGACTCCAGAGATTTTGAGGACCATTAGAGGGACCATCTAAAACTTTCCTCATTAAAAAACTCATCGAAGTTTAGCTCAAGTCAGCGTTTCACTGAACGTGCGGTGTCACTGCCTTCTCGCTGTAGAGGGGACGGGCCAGGGCAGCGTTCTCCCGCTGAAGGGGGTCTCGAGTTCAGAAGTGTGTTCGTGGCGCATCCTCATCCGAGGAGGGGCACGGGCAGCGGGTCCTCCTGTCCTCTCTCTCCCTCTGTTTTCCTCTCAGCATCTTCCTCTTCTCTCTGCCAAACTCTCCTGAGGGCTTCTTTAGAAAAAACCTTTGCTTAAAGAAATGTAAATGGAGAAGAACTAAATTTGTCACCTCCCCCTTGTCACCTCCCCCTTGGCTGGTTACATCTGAACAGACCAGGAGAAGCGAAGCAGCGCTGTGGGACACTGCAGCCTGCAGTGAACGTTAAGTGGCATCAGCAGACTTTGCGTCCCTTCTTGGTTCTGTGCGTGTGAAGGTCTCCAGGTTCCTCAAGCCCTGCGTTCAATGTCTGTATCGTGATGCGCTTGCACGAGTCAAATGAGCGTTAATATCAAGGCAGCCCAATACACCGATGTCCAAATACTAAAACAACATTTCTCTCCATTATAGAAAGAAATCNAGCAACGGTTTATGTTCACTTTAAAGGCATTTTTCCGATGGAGACTTTGATCTTTTTATTTCCTTAGAGCATTGGTCTTCCTCCCCTCCTGCCCCAGCCCCTGATCACCCATCTATTTCAGATCATCAAAGCCGCTTGGTCTCTGTAGCTCAAGAGTCTCACCTTGCTGTCTCTCTGCTAGTGAAGACTCAAGGGGGGGGAAGCACCAAAGCTAATGGTAAATGTCACAGTTAGATAGCAAGTTAAATTAAATAAAGCAAAACATCACCTAAATTTCAAATTTATCTTATATTCTTGGAAAGATTGCTTTTACCTGAAAACTAAAACTGAAAGCAGTGAATGAATTGCTATCTCAGAATCTCCTCTGAAAGTCTGAAAAATAATCGATAGTGTCAGAGTGCCCTAATCCCTAATCCCTGTGGATTACTGACGTCTCTCGGGAGTGCAAACTCACCCAGACCCGTAGAATGTCGAGCCCAGCAATGCCCAAGTGTGGTCAGGCCTCATCTTCTTGGTGAGAAGGTACCTTTTACCATTTGGTATGATTTCAAAGGTCTCATTCACAGCCAGTCCTCTAGAAGAGTTTTTACTTGTTTATTTCTTAAAATATCAATCTTTTTTTAATTTAAGGGAAAATGTCTAGTTACAACTTTTAAAAATATTTTGATTTGCATTTTTCAGTATGCCTGTGACCGCAATGATTTGTAAGTGGTCACGTGTAAAGGGCTCCTGTGTGTCACAGCTGGAAGCCAGGTCTAAGCCGACCTGCCCCCTCAGCAAAGCAAAGATCCCGGGACACGGGGCCTTTGTCCAGAAGGAAAAACTTGAAAACTGTTTGCTAAATCATTTTTTCTAAGTTACTTCTAAAAACTGTTACATGTAACGGCACATGCACACAGGCTGAGACACTGGGACCGTAGTAGTGATAAGCAGGTGTGTTCGGTGGAAAGGCCGTGGCAGGTGTGTGGTTGTCCTGACCAGGTTGTATCCCTTCCAGGCTCTCAGAACCCGATCCCAGCCACACCCTGGAGGAGAGAGTGGTGCACTGGTATTTCAAACTTCTTGATAAAAACTCCAGTGGGGACATCGGCAAGAAGGAAATCAAACCCTTCAAGAGATTCCTTCGGAAAAAGTCAAAACCCAAAAAGTGTGTGAAGAGGTTTGTTGAGTACTGTGACGTGAACAACGACAGATCCATTTCGGTGCAAGAGCTCACGGGCTGCCTGGGCGCCACCAGGGAAGAGAGCAGAGCCGACACCAAGAAGCGCCACAGTAAGAACCTTCCTAGGGGCTTTGCTGTGCACGCACCAGGTCCTGAGGCCTGTAGCTCACTTCCTAAATGTTATAAGGTGTTCTCATGGTCTGAGGTGCAGCAAACATAAAATACGCCATTTGATTGCAGGCCATCTGTGTATGGAAATAACAGACCATCAGTCACGTGCCACCTGGTCAGGAGGCCGCAGATTAAAAGGCATGAGCTGGGGGCTGCTCTGAAGGTGTCTTGTGTTGTTCAAATCATGCTGGGCGACTTCCCAAACACGTATGTTGGGAAAATCTGGGAACCATGGGCAATCGTGTGCCAGCCCTCTACACATACTCCAACCCAATGTTCAGGTCCGTTTATCAGCAGTGAAATAATTGCTATAATCCAGACCATTTATTCTGATGGTTTTAGCTTTTTTAACAATTGAATTTATCTTTTGATGTTGGCCTGGCTTAGCCATCCAAGCATTCCAGGAAGAGAGAGAACCCTACAGTGGCCTGAGTCGAATGTTCTCAGCAGGCAACACATGAGAAAATCCAGATTTGAGAGTCAGGAGCCGCAGGGCAGAGACAGCTGAGCTGGCCACCTGCGTGTGCTGTGACCGCCACTCCACTCGGGGTCTTGGTTTCCTCATTGGTACAGTAAACGTGCTGGGCAGAGTTGACGGGTCCTTGGTGGCATTTTGTGATTCTGTTATTCTATTCCCAACTTCGGTAACATTTAGGAAAGAAGACATTTGGGTGTCAGAGTGTATTCTGGAGACCTCATACAGTGCCTTCCTTACGACCCTATTGTATTTGGAGCTCAGTTCCTTTGAACTGAGCTAGACTGTGGGTGGGCTTCTGGAAGGCCCTGGTTCTTGTCTAGCTCATTTTGTTCTGTGTCCCCAGCACTTGTCACAGTCATCACTCAACCTCACCTGAGTTATGTTCCAGGCTAGATCCGTTGGTTGTGAAGCGCTTCATGCTAATTTCTTGAGAGCAGTCCATTCTGGAAATGGTAAGCGTTATGTCGGAGCTCTCTGCACAGGGCCCCTGCACTTCCTGTGGTCCTCACAATGTCTTCGCAGAAGACAGAGTGGCCAAGAGTGAGGCTGAGCCACATCTGCAGGATGCTCGCGCTCTGTGTGTGGCCTGGCCCTTGGGCTAGCTGATAGGGGTCAGATTGGGAAATCCCGTAGTTATTTCAGACTTTCTGTCTCTGTCGAGGACTCTTTGGCAAGTGTGAGAGGAACTGGCCTTTCACAGACTGACAGGACAAGAAACCGTGCTGGGCTAGTGCATCTGCACAGCACGGAAGCTGGGAATTCCGACTCAATGCTGGGGTGTTCAACAGGGGCCGCACGGGCTCACCACCCAATCCCGCATCATGGCTAGATGGTCGTTTCATGCTCCCAGCCATCCTGGGGTAGACGAGGTCACAGGACAGACTCACCCTTGCTATCACTTGCACACAGGGGTGCTCAGTGCATTTGGTTGCCAGCACGTGGATACGAGTCTTCCTCCCACAGCTGCCGCACAACGAGGAGTAACACAGTTAGGAAGCCGGTCCCTGTCCCGGCTGCACGTTCCGCTGGGNTGGCCTGGCTTAGCCATCCAAGCATTCCAGGAAGAGAGAGAACCCTACAGTGGCCTGAGTCAAATGTTCTCAGCAGGCAACACATGAGAAAATCCAGGTTTGAGAGTCAGGAGCCGCAGGGAAGAGACAGCTGAGCTGGCCACCTGCGTGTGCTGTGACCGCCACTCCACTCGGGGTCTTGGTTTCCTCATTGGTACAGTAAACGTGCTGGGCAGAGTTGACGGGTCCTCGGTGGCATTTTGTGATTCTGTTATTCTATTCCCAACTTCGGTAACATTTAGGAAAGAAGACATTTGGGTGTCAGAGTGTATTCTGGAGCCCTCATACAGTGCCTTCCTTACGACCCTATTGTATTTGGAGCTCAGTTCCTTTGAACTGAGCTAGACTGTGGGTGGGCTTCTGGAAGGCCATGGCTCTTGTCTAGCTCATTTTGTTCTGTGTCCCCAGTACTTGTCACAGTCATCACTCAACCTCACCTGAGTTAGGTTCCAGGCTAGATCCGCTGGTTGTGAAGCGCTTCATGCTAATTTCTTGAGAGCAGTCCATTCTGGAAATGGTAAGCATTATGTCGGAGCTCTCTGCACAGGGCCCCTGCACTTCCTGTGGTCCTCACAATGTCTTCGCAGAAGACGGAGTGGCCAAGAGTGAGGCTGCGCCACATCTGCAGGATGCTCGCGCTCTGTGTGTGGCCTGGCCCTTGGGCTAGCTGATAGGGGTCAGATTGGGAAATCCCGTAGTTATTTCAGACTTTCTGTCTCTGTCGAGGACTCTTTGGCAGGTGTGAGAGGAACTGGCCTTTCACAGACTGACAGGACAAGAAACCGTGCCAGGCTAGTGCATCTGCACAGCACGGAAGCTGGGAATTCCGACTCAATGCTGGGGGAACAGGGGCCGCACGGGCTCACCACCCAGTCCCGCATCATGGCTAGATGGTCGTTTCATGCTCCCAGCCATCCTGGGGCAGACGAGGTCACAGGACAGACTCACCCTTGCTGTCACTTGCACACAGGGTTGCTCAGTGCATTTGGTTGCCAGCACGTGGATACGAGTCTTCCTTCCACAGCTGCCGCACAACGAGGAGTAACGCAGTTAGGAAGCCGGTCCCTGTCCCGGCTGCACGTTCCGCTGGGTCTCCTCCACCACAGCAGATGCACCTGCAACGCTCTGGGCAGGTGGATGAAAACCCAGCGTGCTGTGCGGCAGCTGCCCACGTGCCCCTCCCCGTGCCTTGCCCCTGTGTGCTTGGACTCTGCTCGGTGCAGCTTTCCTGGCACTGTTCTTGCTACCTCCTGACGCTGCCTGTGACTTCTTGGCCTGGGACTGTCTTAGTCCGTCTTGTGCTGCTGTATCAGAATGCCACAGACCGGGGGCTCTGGAGAATGGGGAGTCCAGGTGAGAGGCTGCGTGTGGCAAGGGCCTTCTGACTGCATCCGTCATCCCATGGCAGATGACATCTGTGGCGAAAGGGCAAAGGCCAGGGGGCTGGGGAGGACTCGTCCTTTTATGAGAAACCCACTCCTGCCCTGTGACAGTGGCACTGATTGATTGGTGAGAGCAGAGACCTCACAACCTAAACACCTCTTAATGGTCCCACCTCCCAGCACTCCACACTGGAGATCAAGTCTCCAACACGTGAACTCGGGTCACACGTAAGCCACGGCAGACCGCTTCCTCGCTCTGTCCCTTGACTTTTGTCTCATTTTAGATCCTGCCTAGGGACGTAGGAGACTAGTGACCTGTTGCTAGTTTAGACATAAACCCCCCCAGCAGGGTCAGCCCCAGGGATCCCACGAGAGGGATGGGGAGCAGGGGACAGCAGGATCTGCAGCTGGGGCCGGGGGAGCCCCGTCACACCCCCACTCCCTGGCTCTGAATTCCACGGGGATTCCTTGAGGGAGCTGCTCGTGGCTCTCTGTTGCCCGAGGGCACAGACGCCTCCCTGCACCATCAGCCAGGGCCGCACGTGGCTCTTTCTCCATTACCACTAGAAACCGGTCTCTGAGTTTCTGTAAAAGGCTAATTCTTGTGGTTAATAGTGGGCAAATTAAGTGTAGAATCAGAGCCCTCAGCACACGGGCCTGGCTCATTAAGTGTAGAATCAGAGCCCTCAGCACACGGGCCTGGCTCAGCCTCATGCCTGAGGTCAGACGGCAGACGTGCCTTGCTAGGGCAGAGTCCTGTCCGCACATTTCTTAAACTCAGCTGAGGTACGCATAGATGCTGTGCAGGGGAGGAGGGAGGGATGAGTTCCAGCAGTTGGTGGCTTTTGGACTAATCTGCCCCAGGGCTGTGACAGTGTTTTGAAAAAGTTTGGATACCCTCAAATAGTTTCAGGATGGACTCCACGGCAGTCAGGATGGTTTTCTTGAAATATTTCTCTTTGATCAAATGATCTTTTTCAACCAAATTGTTGTGCCAACTACATTTCCTTCAGGCATGTTGACTTATAGCCAAATAGTGATTGCCAGGTCAGCCGGACACGACTGGTGTCACTTGATGCCAGTGGATGTAACTGCGCCCACTGCACCTGCGTGTTCCGTGAGGCAGTCGTGACGTGCACGTCTCTCCTCTTCTCTGCTGCAGGCTCCCTGAAGCCTGTCTTTACTGATGTGGTGTTGCTGTATGTTTGTTTTAATAATTTACATGCTGTCCCAGTAAAACTAACTAATTAGTACTTGATTATTTTCCTGCCCTTTGTGTATTTTAAGCAGTGGTTTTTTCCTAGCGTATCTTGGATTAAATATTCCATCAGGCGTCATTAATGAAATTTATATTCTTTTCGTTCATATGGCAAGCTGTTTTTTTCTTACACTTAAGAATATTAAGTTTTTCTTACTGCAACTTACCTTTAATCTACAGCTACCTCTAATTACCAGGAAGATTGATATTTATCATAAAACAAACCAGCAAAAAATCTTCCAATTGTCCAATAGCTAAATTGGCTTAGAATAGATTCAAAGCATTGCTGTAATTTTTTTTTTTAATTTGAATGGTTGGCCAAAAAAGCCTATTTTTTTCTCTAAAGTAGTCATTTTAGGCAAAACAAAGTGGAAGAGTACCAGCAGTTATCCTGATACTTAGATCATTAAAACCCACAATTCAGGGGCCGACCCCGTGGCTCACTCGGGAGAGTGCAGTGCTGGAGCGCCGAGACCGCAGGTTCGGGTCCTATATAGGGATGGCCGGTGCGCTCACTGGCTGAGTGTGGTGCGGACGACACCAAGCCGAGGGTTCTGATCCCCTTACCGGTCACAAAAAAAACCCAAAAAAACTTAACTGACAAAAATGATAGATTTAGCTACTGTTTAGTTAATATTTTTGCATTTATTTATACATTTGTTTTCCCTTTTCACATAGTATTTCCATTTGCCTTAGAAGAGAAGACAGAGTTGAAAGTGGAATAATTTTGCTCTTTACTCAGTGATTTTTATCGAGTGAATAAAAAATCAACAATTAATCAGTGCCTCTGGGATGAAGAAAGCTGCCTTCCCTCTGTTTCATTAGAGAGAAGAACATTAAATAAAAC